CTCTACGGCCTTAGAAAGGTCAGGGGCAACGCCGTGGCTTTGAAAAAATCGCGACGAAGATCAAGTCTGACAAGATGCATTGGGATGGCAAGGTCCTCCCTCCAGCCCAGGAGGTCATTCGCAAGACACTTGCGATGGAATCGATTGTGTAATTATGAGGAGTGGTGGTCTGCGGAAGTACAGTATCTCCTCCAGGAGGAAATGTTGTGTGGGTGTGATGGCGTCGCGGTGTTACCGCGACGATCGACGTCGACGATGCGGCGGTGGGTCCGCTGGTGGATGCGGATGTTGACAACAAGGCAGTTTGCCGAGAGAGCGCATCATCACGATCCGCATCACCGTCAGAAGAATGTCGGATCCAGAAGCTGTGAGGAGGAGGAGGAGTGAGGCAGTAGAAAAAGGGCAGGAGGGGAGGGGAAGGGCGGGGACAGGAGGAGAAGGGAACGAACAGGTTCAGACTGGGAGAGGAAGCGCTTACGAAACACTTGCAGATGAGGATGTCTCCAACATTCGCACTTCGTTCCGTGCTGAATTCCTTTTCCGCTTGCGCGGTCCCTGAACCTTGAAGCATGGTTGCCGTGATGGGGGTGAGAGGGAGGGGGGGGGGGGGGGGGGGGGGGGGGGTGGGGGGGGGGGGGGGAGGAGGAGGAGGAGGAGGGGGAAGGGAGGGGGAGGTGGGGGGGGGGGGGGGGGGGGGAGGGGGGGACAGGGGAAAGGAGGGGGGGGGAGGGGGGAATAATGAAAAAGGGAAGCCCCCCCCCCCCCCCCTGGGAGAAGGAGGGCGGGAGGTGGAGGTGGAGATCACATGTAGCCCGGCGATTTGGTTTACAGCGAACTTCGAGGATGCCGCGATCCCCCATCGATTCAGAACCGATGTTTTTTTTTTTAGATGGGACCAACTTGTGGACCGCATCGCGCATTAATGGTCGTGGGCCGAATCCGAATCTGTTGCCATCTGTTTATGGTACCGTTGGGCTCCAATCAGGGACCCCCCGAATCAATGGGACAAGGTTCTTAATCGCCCCCGAATTCTTGCAGAGGCGTGTTGTAGCGTAGCGCCATTCAAGGCGAGGTGCAAACAAAGCAGAGGAACTCCCAGACCAACGAGATTGCCACCCACTGCGCGGACACCTGAATCAAGTCAATGCGAAATTGCAGACACCGACCGCCACTGCCAATACAACGTTTGTGCTTGAGGAAAGAGGAACGGAAAAAAAACCATGGTAACTGCCTTCGGATTATGATCCACTGGCGAAAAAAACCGTTCGAGTAGTTCAACAAATAAAAGAAAACAATGTTACAAAATCATGCAAAACCTTTTTTGGGCCGATTTAACTATGTTGAGGTTTTCTTGAAAGCAAGCCCTACAGCAGATTTCATGGCGCCCCTTCTTATCTCAATACGTCCCTGGCCCATCCCCTGGGCCGCGCACGTGCCGTCGGCCATGATTTGCGCCCCCCCCCTCTTGGACACCCCCTCTCGGCCGCACCCGATGAAAGTGGTAGTTTTAAGTCGGGGCTGTCCCCCTACAGGGGGGAAATTCAAAAATAGTCTAACAATAGTCTTGGAATTATTTTTTACTTAACAGCGAAGACTGATAGGTTTCTAGTGGTGTCAAAAGAGAGCAGCAGATGACTCCACAGGGGGGTCTGGGCGGCATCCGGGGAGCTGTGTCCGAACTCGTGTCCGAATTCGTTTTTCGCAAACAGTCACACACTTCGTGCTCTTCGACCTCCCAGAACTCCGTTCCCGGGCCACATTCTGAATGCCCGGAGCCAATTGTAGGTCACTTCGTGCTCTTCGACTTCCCAGAACTCCATTCCCGAGCCACATTTTGAATGCCCGGAGCCAACTGTAGGCCACTTCGTGCTCTTCGACCTCCCAGAATTCAATTCCCGGGCCACATTCTGAATGCCCAGAGCCAACTGTAGACCACTTCGTGGTCTTCGAGTTCCCAGAACTCCATTCCCGGGCCACATTCTGTAACCCGGAGCCAACTGTAGGCCACTTCGTGCTCTTAGCCTTCCCAAAACTCCACTCCCGGGCCACATTTTGAATGCCCGGAGCCAACTGTAGGCCACTTCGGGGTTTTCGAGTTCCCAAATCTCCACTCCCCGGCCACATTTTGAATCCTGAGGCAGGCTGATGCTGAGGCGTGGGCAGGCTGAGGCTGAGGCAGGCTGAGGCTGAGGCAGGCTGAGGCTGAGGCCGAGGCTGCAGGCAGACTGAGGCTGATGGTGAAGCAGGCTCAGGCTGAGGCTGAGTCAGGCTGAGGCTGAGGCCGAGGCTGAAGGCAGACTGATGCTGAGGCTGAAGGCAGATTGAGGCTGAGGCTGAGGCAGGCTGAGGCTGAGGCTAGGCAGGCTGAGGCTGAGGCTGAGGCTGAGGCAGGCTGATGCTGAGGCAGGCTGAGGCTGAGGCTCAGACTGATGCAGGCTGAGGCTGAGGCAGGCTGAGGCTGAGGCCGAGGCTGAAGGCGACTGAGGCTGAGGCTGAAGCAGGCTGAGGCTGAGGCAGAGGCAGGCTGAGGCTGAGGCTGAGGCAGGCTGATACTGAGGCAGGCTGAGGCTGAGGCTGATGCAGGGTGAGGCTGAGGCAGGCTGAGGCTGAGGCCGAGGCTGAAGGCAGACTGATGTTGAGGCTGAAGCAGGCTGAGGCTGAGGCTGAGGCAGGCTGAGGCTGAGGCAGGCTGAGGCTGAGGCTGAGGCAGGCTGAGGCTGAGGCTGTGACTGCGACTGCCGTTGCCACTGCGACTGCCATCGCGAATGCGACTACGACTGCGAGAACAGCAGAATTCTACAACAGGATTCTCATGTGAATCGTAAGGGGAATGCTTCCAGATATGCTCCTACACATCGCTGTTAGGTTGCTTTGCCGGGATACTTTAGTATTGTAGTGGCCTCCGGCCAGTGCCGCCGATCCGGGGCGCTCCGGGTGCCTGTGGAAATTAACGACGACGAGGAAGACGAAAACGACGACGAAAACGAATACGTCGACGACGACGACGACGAGAGCGACGACGGCAACGACCACGATGACGACGACGACGGCGATGACGACGACGACGCGAGCGACGACGACGACGACGACGACGACGACGACGACGACGACGACGACGACGACGACGATGACGCGAGCGACGACGACGACGACGACGCGACGACAACGACGACGACGACGACGACGACGACGACGACGACGACGACGACGACGACGACGACGACGACGACGACGACGACGACGACGACGACGACGACGACGACGACGACGACGACGACGACGACGACGACGACGCGCCGACGACGACGACGACGACGACGACGACGACGACGACGACGACGACGACGACGACGACGACGAGGACGACGACGACGACGACGACGACGACGACGACGACGACGACGACGACGACGGGGGGGGAGCTGGGTTGCAGGGGGGGGGTCTGCTCTGCAGGGGGGGTCCGCTCGGCAGAGGGAGGGGCTGCAGGGGAGAGGGGGGGACCGCTCTGCAGGGGGGGGGGGCTGCAGGAGGGGGGCGTCTGCTCTGCAGGGGGGGGGGGGGCGGGGTGCAGGGAGGAGGGGGGGGGTCGCTCTGCAGGGGGGCGGGGCGGCCTCGCACGGAAGGAGGGCCCCATGCCCCCGCAGGGGAGTGGGTGCTGGGCTGCAGGGGGGGGGGGTCCGCTCTGCAGGGGGGGGGGGGGGGTCGGCTCTGCAGGGGGAGAAGGGGTGCAGAGGGGGGGGTCTGTCTGCAGGGGTGGGGGTGTTGAAGGGGAGGGCGAGGGGGGTCCGCTCTGCGGGGGGCGGGGGGGGGCTGCAGGGGGGAGGTTCGCTCGGCAGGGGTGGGGCCTGCTCACTCTGCAGGGGGGGGGTGCAGGGGAGGGGGGGGCGGTTCCGCTCTGAGGGGGGGGGGGTGAAGGGGGGGTCCGCTCTGAGGGGGGGGGGGGGGCTGGGCTGAGGCGGGGTGGGCTGGGGGGGCCTCTGCAGTGGAAGGGGGTCCGCTCTGGGGGGGGGGTGGGGGGGGCGAAGCACTGAATTAGGTCGGAAATATGTCGGAAATGAGGTCCCCCCCCTGGGCAGAGCGAAGCTTGAGCGAGCTCAAGCCCACGCTCTCAGAAACTCACACGCCGGATCGGCGGAGTTTTGGGCATCTTTTGCGTTTTATTTGGGTATTCTTTTTAGTTTCATCCGAAATCCCCCTGTTGGGGGACAGGCCCGACTTAAAGCAAGTGGAGAAAGCACGGGAGCCCGCCTCCCCCCCCTGGACACAAATCGCCCCTTCGCGCATTTCTGCATGGCGTTTTCGGGGCGCGGCCCTCGGGAGAATAAGAAAGGGGCTCCAGGGCGCCAGCTGTGCTGCAGTTAGTGGGATCCAGCCAGTTCCTGTGGGATCCTTGAGGTAGCCAGTTCCTGTGGGATCCTCTGGAATTGCAAATTCTGAAGATTCCAACTTGGTTCTAATAGAATTCGGATTCCCCTGTGGGATCCCCGCAGAAGTCCCCCCCCATAGGATGTCCCCATGGGATTTGCAATGGGATTCCCACCACGAGATTGCCCCACAGGATTCCCCCACAAGATGTCCCCACAGGACTCACACATAGGATTCCGGCACAAGACTCCCACAAAAGATTCCCCAGATTCCCCATAGGATTCATCGTGAGGGTTCCCTCCGCAGGCGTCCCCAACATGTTTCCCCCTTACGGTTTCCCCAATCAGGCACTGTTTCAAATAGTCGCACTCAGCAGAGGTCTGGAGCCAAACCCCCCCCTCCCCCTACCTTTCGCCCAATGTCGAACCGCCGAAAAAGAAACCGTTCACAAAACATCAGGATATCGCATATCTGGATCAATGACCACCGCCTGGGGGATTGATCTTCGGGGACCTCGGTAGGCGGTGGATATAGATGTACTCGGGCCCCCTGGGGCCGAAATATGTCTACACCCATTCTCCGCTGGGGTCCCAGGACGTTGGTTCTCCAGGCGGTGGATAAGGATATTCTCCCGCCTCGCAATAGAGGTCCCTTTTTACGTCCCTCATCTCCTGAGGCCTCAGATCCGGCCTTGCCTCAGTCGCTGTTTGGGGTTCCCGCGCCGATACCGGGCCAGCGCCCGTGGCAGAGCACCTGCCCGGCGGGACTGGCGTTCTTTCTGCTCCGAGAACCTGGCCCGACGGGCGGCAGAGAAAAGGGACACGCAGTGGAAGAAGCAAGAGCAACACCCTGCAACATGCTTATTCGCAGCTCCGCGCGGGCTCCCTGGATCGGCGCCGGCACGCGCCCCCAGCGCCGCCAGGAAGTCAAGCAGTGGCGAAGCGTCCTGGCTACAGGCCCACCAAAGAATGTTCTGAGAACTTTTCGTGGTTTGCACGAAGCGTTCTTAGAATATTTCTGGCTGAGTCTGTCTTGGCTTGTCACGTCGGGTGTTTGTTCCAAGAGCATCGTTCTTGTTCTGAGAACATGTTTTGGCTCCAAGCGCATGTCGTGGCAGGCCTGCAGGAGTGCTGGGACGGTCGGCCCCTGCTCCAGGAAGGGAGGGGCCCGGCGCAGGTCCAAGCGATCCGCGCGTGGAGCTCCGAGAGTTGTTGCTTACATGTGCACGCCGGTCGTCAAGGGTGTGGGTGTCTCTCTTCGGCTAGACGTAGGATCGGGGGAGCGTAAGACCCGGGTTTGCCGGGACTCGGGTTCGCCATCGTTTTTTGACGACCGCGACTCGGATTTTGACGAGGAGGAGTTTTGTGGGATGTCTGCAGCGGGAGGCCTCGTCAAAATGCAGGCTCGGCCTCGTCATTTTTTTGACGACCACGTCGGGGATTTCCGAGTCCCCTGTACCCAGGTCTTACGTTCCCCTGATAGGAGTGGCGTTTCGCCGGAGGGACCTCTGCTGCGGGCACAGATGGGTCCCCAGCTGGCCGAAGACGGAGCAGGAGCAACGGCTTGCGCGCCCAGGTTTGGTCCCCACGCGGCCCCCCAAAAAGCCGCGCACCAAAGGTCACTCTTACCCAGGGTCACTCTTGCGTGTAGCCGATCTCTGGATACCCAGATCCCAATATGTTCCGAGCGCCTTCCTGCCCCAAGAAGCGATGATCTGCTTCTGCTGCGCGTGTCGTTCTCATCTGGGGGGGCCCGAGCCCAAACTGCTTTCTCCGTGGTCCTGCCTGGCGCTTTTGCCCACCTCCTCCGACCGACGTGTGCAGTCGGCCCGGACTAGTGGGTCGACCCCGCCAGATCAAGGGTACCTTTGTGCCCTGTGCCTCGCAGCCCATGTCTCCTGCATTCATATGGCAGCGTGACCCTCGGAAGGGTATTGTGTTCTCTCGTCGCGTGTCCTGTCCAATCAAGGCCGACTGGCAGGCGTGCTTTGGTGCGGAGGAGGACAGGCGTGCTTTGGTGCGGAGGAGGAGGAGGAGGAGGAGGAGGAGGAGGAGGAGGAGGAGGAGGGAGGAGGAGGAGGGAGGAGGAGGAGGAGGAGGAGGGAGGAGGAGGATAGGGAGGAGGAGGAGGAGGGAGCATTTCTCATTTTCCCTTCTCTTCTTTCCCGCCGACGCTCGGTGGCTCGGGTCTCCCTCTCGCCCTCCCCCGCTCCTCCTCCTCCTCCTCCTCCGCGGCTCGCAGACGTGCCTGCGACCGCCAGCGCTGCCGACGGACAAGTTGTTTTTTTGTGCTTCGTGCCTTTTTGTTGTTGTTGTTTTTTTTGTTTTGGATTGCAGGGAGCGGGACATTGTCAGGCTCGTTTCGGCTCCGCCGATTCGGTTCGATTCGGCCTCGGTGGCTTCCGATTCCGACTCGATTCGACCTGGGATTCCCCATGCGGGCTCCGATCTCTCAACGGCGGCCTACTAGACTGCCGATTCATGCCGATCCGACTTCCCCGACTCGGCTGCCGATTTCCGCCGATCCGAGTCGTTTCGTTCGCCGATTCGACTTATCGATTCGATTCTGGGCTCTCCTGCTGTCGGCGCATTCGCAGTCTGACGTTTACCAGTGCGTGGATGCTCGCGGGTGCGTGTGCCCACTGCTTTTCGCTCCAGCCTTCTGGGTTCTTACCGCCCCCCCCTTGTCAGGGGCAACGACAGGGGGGATAGGCTCAGGGGTGGATGCTCACGAGGGGAAAAAACCGACAGACACAATTAATCGTCGATTCCCCAGAAAATATGGGAAAATATGGGAAGTGGGGGGGAAGACAAAAACCCTGAAAATATGGGAAAATATGGGGAAGCCTGTTATTTGCGTCCATTTCTTTGTGTGCCCTTGGGCCCCTTGAGCCTATGGGGGCCCGAAAGCCCCAATCTGCCCAGGAACGCGCGGTGCCGCCATCGGGGCCCTTCTCGCCGATCCATCGGCGAGGAGGAGGAGGGGGAGGAGGGGGGGAGGAGGAGAGGGGGAGGAGGAGGAGGAGGGGGAGGAGGAGGAGGAGAGGGGAAGAGGAGGAGGAGGGGAGGAGGAGGACCCGTGTGCCAGCCCCCACCCTAACGTTGCCCCTCACCCTGTCCGCGTCGCGTCGTGGTGAAGAGCATGACGGGAGGTTTTGGGGAGCATTTTCTGCCCCCCCCCCCCCCCCCCCCCTCCTCCTCCTCCTCCTCCTCCTCTCCTCCTCCTCCTCCTCCTCCTCCTTCCTCCTCCTCCTCCTCTCCTCCTCCTCCTCCTCCTCTCCTCCTCCTCCTCCTCCTCCTCCTCCTCCTCCTTCCCCAGGGCCTTCACCGAGCTCCGGGATTGCCAGAGCGACTCGGAATCAGAAGCCCGTCCCCGGAAAAGGTCCAGACCTCTGGAGAGCCACGCTGCGACACGACACACGACGTCGGATGTTTGGGCTTGTTCTGTTGACCGGTTTGCGCAGTCAACCAGCACAGTGCGGATGCGCGACCTTCCAAGGTTGCCTTCGCCCTCCCCCTTCGGCCCATCCCTTGCCGCTTTCGCTGGCCGCGCCCCCGCTCGCAAAGTGTCGGCATGGCCTTCCAAGGCCCTTGCATCCTTGTCGTGCATCCTTCGTGTACGGGTTGGCCGTATGCTCGTCCTCTTCTCGAGTGACTCCTGGCGTCTCCCGTGCTCTTCCCTCCCGGGCTGCGGCGTCTCTCTCGCGGAGGCGGCCTCTCGAGGTCGGTGCACGTATGCCGTCTGCGTCCACGCCGCGTGCGCTCGGGCGCTTCGCCGCGATGGCCTCGCGTCCGCCACCGCGCCACGACTGCGACGAGTGCCGACCCAGAGTCAAGCAGCGGCGAAGCGTCCTGGTTTGCCGATAGGCCCACCAGTTGTGGCTTGCACGAAATGTTCTTAGAACATTTCTGGCTGAGACTGCATTGTCTCAGGAAACAGGGCGTATGCTACAGCAGCGCTCGTTCTGTTGATCGCGTTCTTTCGTTCTAAGAATAGCTCGTGATAGGCCTACGGGAATGCCGGGACGAGCGGTCCCTGCTCAATTGATGCTTTTCTACATGTACGGTCGGACCGAGGTGTAAGATCGAGGTTGGTTCGGGGAGGGTACCCTAATTCGATGTTCGTGTTTGTTGGATGTTCTTGTGCATCCTGGGGGAGGGTACCCTCGAATGTTCCTCAGCTTGGGCCGGCGTATGGTCTCATGTTCCTGTATTATCTGGTAGGATGTGTTTCTGTCCTTGGTCCAGTCGTATGATGTTCTAACCGACTGTAGCCTCGACCACTAGCAAGAATTTCGAGCGCCAAGAAGGTACCGAAATTGGAGGGTCATGAAGGCGAACCCCCTGGGAAAGTCTTCACTTGTCGGGCCCTTGGATGCGATGTTCGTTCGACACTTCGCTAGCGTTTCGCCTTCTGGGTGCTCGAAATTACTTTTAGGATGTGGCCTTTGAGCACGATCGGAACAACATAAGTTTACATACCTCTTGCCTCCTTGCAGTATTGGTTATTCTGCGAATCCCGTATCGAACCGCCGCACCGATTGCGATGGGCCAGTTTTGTTTGCGGTGGGTGCCGGCCAAGATGCCTTTCTGCATACCTCGTCCCTCGTTTCAAGTTTGCTTCTTATGCGAATCCAGTATTTAGCCGCCGCTTCGATTGCGATGGGGCGGCTTTGAAACCCTCTTGTCTAGCTCTCGTGCCGGGAAGGCCCAAGAGGGCCCAGCTGCATCGAGTTTCCGCCCTCGTCCCTCCGCGTGATAGACACGGAGCGTTCCAGAGAGGACTTCGCCGTCCTGGGATCGAGACGTTGGCTTCTGCTCCTCGTTGATAAGCTCGGCGGTGAGTGTGGGGGTGAAGTGATACGGAAAAGGCCTTCTCAGAAGGCGGCGGGAATTCCCAGCAGCCCTCGCGCCTTCTGAGAGGTTCTTTGCATCGTCTGGGAAGGCCCGGGCAACTCCTCAGAAGGCCCGAGGCCTGCTGAGCCCTCTGAGAAGGCCCGCCCCTTCTCACTTCCCCCCCGGGCTCTCCGCCGAGACGCAAACGTGGGGTAGTTCCGCCAGCGGAAGCAGAGTTCGGCCCTCCAAGAGATGCACTTCGTTGTGGGTTCCAGGGCTCCAGACAATTCTTCACAGTCTCACCACAAGTCGTGTCGATGGTGTGGTCCAGGCATGTCTCCTGGAGTCTCTTCACTCACGTTTGGAGGGGCCGTCTTCAAAACGAGGCCTTCTCCTCTGCGCCGCGCACTTTCTCCCTACGAGTGGCGAGGAGGACGAGGATTTGTAATGGAGGGAGGGCGAGGACGAGGAGGAGGAGGGGAAGTGGAGGGAGGACGACCATAAGATCCGACGTTGCGAAGAGATGAAACACCTCGAAAACCATCACAGACCGAGCAATCGAACCCATCTGCCTGCACCATGTTTCGAGCCGGATCGATCTGTAATGGTCACAGGGCCCGAAAGCGGGCGAGAATGCCCCAAGCAAACAAATCGGAGCGCCCAGACCTCAGGGTAGGAGGAGGAGGAGGAGCGGAAAGAGGAGGAGGAGGAGGAAGAGGAGGAGAAGGAGGAGGAGGAGGAGTTGAAGGAGGAGTTGAAGGAGGAGGAGGAGGAGGAGGAGGAGGAGGAGGAGGAGTGGAGGGAGGGAGCCCAGATCTGCGATGTCCTGATCATTACAGTACGCTGTCCCTGGAAGTCCCGAACTTTCTCAACAAGGGCCGGCTCCGTATCATGAGTCGTTATTTGGCGGTCCCAGGGGCGCGGTACGGGCTTCCAGGATTCCAAAGGCCCCAAACTTTGAACGAGGAGGAGGAGGACGACGAGGAGGAGG